CATTATAGACCTGAGACCCAATGGAGGGATAGTGAACTGCATTCCAACCATGCCAGAGACTTTTAGAATGGGCCCAAAGAAGATACTACAAGTGAAGCAGTGTCTGAGGAAGAAAATAAGGAAGTTCTAAGATCCCTAAATGACACCTTATATTTTATTAAAATAAGCAGGAATTATGGTTCAGAAAGAGGGATGCAGAAGACTCATAACTTGGCACTCTCGTGTGTCATGGTATGTTGTGGGCATTTCAGTGCAGACGCATAGTGTAGTTAGTTCCCTTTTCCTGAGATCACTCACCATCTGCTTTCATTTGGGAAAATCTCTCCTAAATTTGTAGATTCCTCTTCCCCAGAGTTTCACAGGTTCTGAAACCCTGGGTGCAACATCTTCTAACCATTGCCATCTCATAACCCAAGCAGGCAAAAGGCATTATAATTATAAACTCCTTCCTGTGTGTTGAGTCTGTGTGTTCAACACTTTTCAAGGTTGCACATTAAAACAGTTTATTCTCCTTTTATTTGGAAAGATAATTTCAGCAAAATTTTTTGGCCAGGCATGGCTTTCCAAACCCCCCCCCCCCCCCAGCCCTTTGGCCCATATTGTCAGCCTTTAGATTCTTTTACAGTTAGTAGATCAGAGATCAACCCTGATCTCTGTGCACGCTCACTTTTTGCAAGTGCCCTTCCCTTAATAGTGATTTGACTGTTTTATGCTTAAGACATTTTAGACGTAAATGCTATTAATAATAGCTAATACATATAGCACTTAAGCCCTTCACACATGTGAACTCATTTAATCCTCACAAAACTCTATGAGTTGGGCATTATTATTATTATCCCTATTTTATAGATGAGGAAATTGAGGAATAGAAATATCAAGTAACTTGCCAGAAGTCATGTAACCTGCAAGTGACAGAGCCATCTCCAAGTCTGTGATCTTAATACTGTACTAATTATATTTATGACATTAAATTTTTGTTGCTGGGGTCTTTTTTTTGGTTGGGAGGGGTGGGGGTGACATTTCACATTTTTTGTCTCCTATGACTTAACTACTCCTGAGAAGTAGGAATAGATATTTTCCCATTTACATTCAAGGTACTGTACAAAGAAGTTAACTAACTTGCCTCAGGCCTCCTAGTTACGGACTTGAACCTTTTTGTCACGTAGTCTTCTTTTCTTCACAAAACTAATTGTGTACCTCCTGGCCAAAAGCTTGAGGGGGTGGGGAATGACGTTTAAAAAGCTTTGCTTCTTGGGAATACCTGAGTCACAGGTTTGTACTTGCGTGCTTGTAATAGGGATGTTGATTGGCTTCCCTGCTGTTAAGGCCTCTAACTTGATTTTCTTGCCAAACAAACAGTAAGTGCCTTCTGTCAGGAAAACAGAAACATGTTGCCAGCTATTTTGAACAATGTTAGAAATACACTGCAGTGGGAAGGAGCTGCCTCTGACTTCTGCCCACTTCTTGAAATATTTTAAGGCCAGCCATTTGGAAACTTTGTTTTTAGTACCCAATATAGTCACAGGGGACTATTCTTCCCCCAAGGCTGAGATTTCAGAGGGTTTACATCAGTGGATAGGTTACATGGTTTTGGTTTGTTTTGGTTTTGGGTTTTGTTTTTGTTTTTGAAATATATTTTATTGATTATTTTTTTTTTTTTTTTTTTTAGAGAGAGAGGAAGGGAGAAAGAGAAACATCGATCAGCCGCCTCCCACACGCCCCCCACTGGGGATCGAGCCTGCAACCCAAGGCACGTGCCCCAACCAGAAATTAAACCATGACCTCTCAGTCCATGGGACAATGCTTAATCTACTGAGCAACACTGGCTGGGCAGTTTGTTTGTTTGTAATGCTCTCTGATTCTTTCTTTGCCCACTTTACTGGAACCTTCAGTCACTATGAGTAGAATGTGAACTGATGATTCTCATTCTTGCAGTGTCTGCCTTGTTATTTCTATTCTGCCTCCTGTGCTGTGGTCCTTCCTGAGTTATTCGTGCAGTGAAAATCTTATAATCAGCTGCTGCTACCTGAGTGTGCTTTATAAAGAAAAGAGATAGCTTCAAATTCTCTGGGAGAGCCCTGGCCAGTTTGGCTCAGTGGTTAGAGCTTTGGCCTGCGGTCCAGAGAGACCCGGGTTCGGTTCCCGCTGGGGGCATGTACTTTGGTTGCTGTTTGTCCCCGGCCCTGGTTGGGTTGTGCGGGTGGCAGCCACTCGATGTGTCCCTTTCATGTCGATGTTTCTCTCTCTCTCTTCCTCCCACTCTACCTGAACAGGAATGGAAAAATGTCCTCGGGTGAGGATAAAAAAAAAAAAAATTCTCTGGGAGAATTCCAATTTTCCTTTCACTTGTTTCTATGTGTTTCTTTCCTTCCCTTTGTTACCCAGAGCCAGTTGCACATATGTTTAAACTACTGAAATGATCAAGCTGTGGAATCAATTATCAGCAGTATTTATTTATAGACTTTTATTCTTTTGGTAACACAGTCTCTTCAGTTTTTTGTTTGTTTGTTTTGTTTTAATTAAGTCATTCCCACACATATCTCAGGAAACAGCACGGTAAGTTAGTGTCTTAGAAAAATTACAAAAATATTTGGTCAGAATTCATGGTGATTTCCACTGTATCATCAAGTAGTTGCTTTCCTATTGAACTCATCTTATTGCTGAGTGGATAAAGGAGATAAGACACATAAAGAGCCTGGAACATGATAAATACTCTGTGTATTTTAGCTGTTTACTTAGCTATTATATTTGCTTCTCTTTCTGCATTGAACTGTTGACTTCCTAATTCTATTTGTCAAAAGAAATAGAATCCACTCTAAAACTTGTATTAGGGCCCTGGCCAGTTTGGCTCAGTGGTTGAGCATCAGCCTACGGACCAGAGAGTCCCGGGTTCGGTTCCTGCTATGGGCACGTACCACCAAAAAAAACAAAACAAAACAAAAAAACATAAAACTTGTATTAGGTTTAAGTGCATGTCAGAGACACATCCCCTCTTCCACCACACAGGCATGTAAAGTGTCTCTCCATCAGCATAGCATTCTAGAGCCTATCATTCACAGCAATTGTTAGAAACAGTGGCAGGGTATGGGGCATTCTGTGGTACCTGGGCTTTCATATGGAACCACCCTATAAATCAAGAAAGTTCATTTGCCCTGGCCAGTTTGGCTCAGCAGTTAGAGCGTCGGCCCACGGTCCAGAGAGACCCGGGTTCAGTTCCCGCTAAGGGCACATACCTCATTTGCAGTTTGTCCCTGGCCCTGGCTGGGTCGCGCGAGTGGCAACCCCTCGATGTGTCCCTTTGATGTCAATGTTTCTCTCTCTTTCTCTCCCTCCCACTCTATCTGAACAAAAAGTGGGGGGAGGGGGGAGTTCATTTGTAGAAAGAGTTCTGCTACCTAAAATAGTTTGAAAACCATTGCCTTAAATCTTGGTCCCGATTAATTGAAATTACTTTTAGTTTGTGGACAGTTATGAGGAAAAAGAAGAAACAATGTTGTTTAAATTTTTGAACTTGTTAGAAAAGAACAAAAAATTTTTGTGATACTTAATACTGTTTTTATATATACTTCAACTTTAAAAAATATTGCATTCTCTCACCTCTTCAGATCATCCAGCTAGAACTTAGGTTATTTTTATCTCAGATCCAAAGGAGAATGACCTAGATAAAGTATTTCTGGTCATTTCCCAGTGATTGAAGATATAGACCTATGTAATGTATCTGTTCATAGCCCAGCATGTTAGATTTTGGTATTTCTACTTTCTAATCTGAGACTATCCTTAGGGCAAGTAGTCTTCTAGCTAACTCTGAGGTATACCCAGTCAATGTAAATTAGCCAGAGATTCAGGTCCTGGAGCACAGCCCTTTGCCAATTACAAGGGCTCTTCAAGGCAAGGAGTCTTCCTGTGATGCACTCAGTAGAGAGAGCTTCACCCTGCAAAAGGCCTGAGCCTCAAGGGTTTAAGTTCTCAAGGCCCAGCTCAGGACTGATTCCTCCTTAGCCTCTGCTACTACTTCCTCTTTCTTTCTTTTTTTTAGTCCTCATCCGAGGACATTTTTCCATTTTTTGTACAGACAGAGTGGGAGGGAGAGAGAGGAAGAGAGAGAGAGGGAAACATCGATGTGAAAGGGACACATCGAGTGGCTGCCACCCGCACGACCAACCAGGGCCGGGGACAAACTGCAACCGAGGTACATGCCCTTAGGGGGAACCGAACCCGGGTCTCTCCGGACCGCAGGTGGACGCTCTAACCGCTGAGCCAAACCGGCCAGGGCTGCTACTTCCTCTTTCATCAGGAGCATTGCCATCCACCTTCCTTCCCCCCCACTCCCACCCCTCATTCCATGCCTCTATCTCTTTGTCTCTTTGTGGCCACCCTAGTCAAAGGAGTTAGGGAACCAATCCTTTTCCTTCTAGGAGATTCCTAGAGTGCTTATTTAATTAGATTCACCCAAACTATGACCAGTCTGCAGAGGAAGGGTTGAGGCATCTCTGCTAGTCTACTTAAAGAAATGTAAGGTTTACCTATAGCTATTTCTCCACATAGTGAGGCCAGACTGGGGTGCTTCTGCATAAGTAGAAGGGTCCTAAAGATCTCAAAGGTGAACAAGAAGGGGAAAAAATTTACTGATAAATTCAACAGCCCTAGCCGGGTAGCTCAGTTGGTTAGAGCATTGTCCCAATATACCAAGGTTGTAGGTTCGATCCCCAGTCAGTGCACATACAAGAATTAATCAATGAATGCATAATTAGGTAGAACAGCAATTCTATGTTTCTTTCTTACCCCACCTCTGAAATCAGTAAATAATTTTTAAAAGCAAAAAAATAATAATAAAATAAAAGGAAAAAAAGAAATTCAGTATTATAGTATATTTTTGTTTCCAAGAGGCAAACTTCCTAGACCAGTGAGTAAGTGTGGAATATTTGACAATATGAGGTCAAAGTTTGGGTAAAAGATTTATTTTTGTCTCCACTTTATTTATATGTATTTATTCATTTAAGCTCTGAAGATGGCTGTAGTGGATATCTACCATTCCAGGTTAAAGGAAAGACAAAGGCGGAAAAAGTAAGTACAGAAAACTGTATCTTGCCTTCTTTCAGCTTTGGGATACTGATCACATATACATTTAACCTATAAGAATGTTCCATTTGTGGCTCATTTTGTGACCTTGAGGAAGATACTTACTCCTTGGGTCTCGATTTTTCCATCTATCAAATGGGGATAATAATACTTGCTTTAATTTTTTTTTTTTTTAATTCCTCACTCGAGGATATATTTTTCTCCTTATTATCAGAGTGGGAGGGAGGGAGAGACAGAGAGAAACATCGATATGATAGAGCCACATCGACTGGTTGCTTCCAACACGACCCAACCAGGGCCAGGGATAAACCGAAACCAAGGTATGTGCCCTTGACCGGAATCGAACCTGCGACTTAATTGGTCTGCAGGCTGACTCTCTAACGGCAGAGCCAAACCAGCCAGGGCTGTTTTGTTTTGTTTTGTTTTATTATGTTTTTATCTCCTCTTTAACCTTTCTTAAAGTATTGATGACCAATGAATAATGTGGATGTACTGTTTTAAGGAAAAAAGGAACAAGATGAATTTAAGATGTTATTAAGTTGTTACCCATTTTTTAATGTTCTTATTGTAATTGCATACTTTTTTATTAGAAGTCTTTTATGTAAAAGAATTTCAAAGGAAATTCTAAACAAGTTTTGGGCACTCTTGGTTATTCCTTCTCTTTGCAACAGAACAAAAAACATACATTCAGATTGAGAAATTATGGATCCCAGACCCCTGTAGGATTACAGAGATTTTAACAGTTCAGAGAAGGATATGCAGAGATTGTGAGAGTGTGTGTGTGTGCAGGCATGTTACTAACATGTGGTGTTGCTAACCGGAGACGCAGTGGCACAACGACAAAAAAGAATGGAACTTGGGAACTACTGTGTTAATGAAATTGGGAGGCGCTGTTGAGGGACCAATTTGTGTTCTAAAGTAAAGCTTACTTTCTGCATGTCTAGAGTTAGCTTCTGAGAGTGCTAAAGAAGCTTACCCACCCCAGCCTGTGTGGCTCAGTGGACTGAGCATCATCCCATGGACTGACAAGTCCCGGTTTGATTCCTGGTCAGGGTACATGCCTGGGTTGCGGGCTTGATCCCCAGTGGGGGTGTGTGTAGGAGGCAGCTGATTGATGTGTCTCTCCCATATCGATGTTTCTGTCTCTGTCACCCTTCCTTTCTCTCTCTAAAGAATCAATAAAAACATACATTTTTTTTAAAAAAGATGATTACTTAAAAAAAAAAGAAGCTTACCCAGCTCTTCTTGTGAGAGGCTTCATTGCTAGTCATGAATATCTCTGGTATAAATCAAAGGTTCCAGACACAGAACGCTGCATGGTTTATTTAAATTCTGTTTTGCTCAAAACACGCAATTAGAGTTAGACTGTATTGTAGAACTCGGTTGTTGAGGTTGCTATTAAATATTATGTTTTATGATGCCCTTCCATTAAACATACACAATATTTATTTCAAATAGTTTCAAAGTATTATGTGAATGAACAGTTGTAAATGCTGAATGTGTGTTCATGGTGCTCTTTTATGGTTAACAGGTTTCCCTTAAATTTCCTAAGCTGAATAAATTAATTTCTATGACGTGAACACAGATTCCCTTCTGTCTTGTCTTAAGTTATAGACATGTATTTTTCAGTATTTGTAAGTGCTTATTGATTGATTCATTCAAACAACAAATAGTTATTGAGAGTCTGCCAAGCCAAGGAGAGGAAAAAGGTCTGCTTGAGAGCCTAAAATTGTGTTAGTGACTAACAGACCTGCAGAACTTTGGGGAGTGACTTCTTTGGACCTTGATATTTTGCCTCATAGTGTTTAGGATATCTAATAAAAGCTGCATGTGGAAAACAATATTAAATGTAAAACTAAGTATAATAAACATTATTGTGGTTTTCATTCTAGAATTATAAGAGATCATGGATTAATCAACCTTAGGAAGTTTCAGCGTAAGTATTACCTGTTTTCTTTAAAAAAATTTTTCAACATTATTGAATAGTTTTAAATCATTTATGGTAGTAGTTCTTAGTCCAAGTTGTATATTATCACCTGGGAAGCTTTAAAGAATTTTGATACCAGGGTGTCACCCCAGGCTAATTAAGTCAGAATCTCTGGGGGTATTTTTAAAAAGTCTTCAAGGCAATAAATAAATAAAGATAAAAATCTTCAAGGTGATTTTATTGAATAGTAAGAGTTAAGAACCATTAAAATAGTCCACAACATTCGCACGACATTTTTTTTTATATCAGTATAGTAATTACAGCATGAGTATTAATGAGTCATTTTCTGGAACTGGATAGGTCATGTTTTGGAACTGTATGTTAAACATAACCTTGAACACCAGGTTGTGAAAATGTTTTTATGGAAAAATCAACAGAAAGTGATGTCTCTATTTTGTATCATAGTAGACAGACAAAAAAAAAATGACATTTAATATTGCATGATGGTAATAATAAACCTGGGAGGATTTATTATTATTTTTTTAATGCTAACCTTACTCTTTTAAATATTAGAGATAACTAGGCTAGGCAGAAAGAGTCCCTGTACTCTTTGTTCTGCACTGTAAAGTGTGTTTAGTAAATAAGAATGATGATCTCAGAGTAATTGCAGTATTTAAATTAAAATGTTTATAATAGTTGTATGTCACAATACTCTTTGTGGGGGGGGGCGGGTAAATTGCCTAATAATTATTGTGGTTCAAATCCTAGTTGATAGACTCTTTTTTTTTTTTTTTTTTTTTTTTTTTTTTTTTTTATAGAGTGGGAGGGAGAAAGAGGAAGGGAGAGAGAGAGAGAGAAACATCGATGTGTCCTTCACATCGAGTGGCTGCCACCCACACGACCAACCAGGGCCGGGGACAAACCGCAACCGAAGTACATGCCCTTAGCGGGAACCGAACCCGGGTCCCTCCGGACCACAGGCCGACGCTCTAACCGCTGAACCAAACTGGCCAGGGCCTAGTTGATAGACTCTTATAGGTTTTGATACTCTGTGCCCCTGTAGGGTTCAGGTTACCAGTCACGGGTTGTCTTTTAATATAGTTATGATCATAAATATGTTACAGTTTATGTCCTGTATTTTTTCACTTTTCATTACACATTTTTCAAGTGATTGTGTTGTTTGTAGGATGTCACTTTTAATAGTTACATAATATGTTGTATATATACATAAATACACATATAACAATATGCTTAACCTGCCTTTTATTAGATCTTTAGCATCCTTTTTTTTTTTAATCGTTGAAAATAATGCCAATGTTGTACTTGTTGGTGACTAAAACTTTGTTTATGTTTAGATTTTTTTTTTTGGAGTCCCAGAAGTGAAATTAATAAGCCAAAGAGTATGATAGTATGATCATTAAAAACTCTTGATACTTGCTGCTAGATTGCCTTACAAAAGATGTTATCAATTTATATTCCTTCTGACAGTGTATGAGATTGCCTGCTTAACCTCATCCTCATTGAGAGCTGTGGTTTTGCAAAAATAACTCAGGAGCAGATTTTCTTTGCCCTTTCTATTAACAATAATTGGTCAATACTGGTAGCTACAGTAGTGGGTTCCTCTGTCTGTCCTGGGCTTTTTCATAATAGGTTAGTTTTTTTTTAACCTTTATTTATAGTAGACCTTGACTCTTACATATATCTAATCTCAGCTGGTGGACAGAGGTCAGTTTAGCCTTATTATTCTTTTTTAAAAAATATGTTTTTATTGATTTTTTTTTTAGAGAAAGAGAGAAAGAAACACTGATGAGAGAGAAACATCAGTTGGCTGCTTTCTGCAAGCCCCCTACTGGGGATTGAACCCGAAACCCCGGCATGTGCCCTGACCTGGAATCCAACCAGCTCTTGGTGCATGGGATGATGCTCAACCAACTGAGCCACACTGGCCGGGCTAGCTTTATTATTTTTGTAATTGTAGGCTGCTTTGAGAAAGAAGTGGCATATGCATTGTGGTTTCAGAGGTTTTTATTCGCCATTATACTGGATGTACATGTGACCTTAATATGATAGGCAGAGGGTTTTTTTGTTTTTTTAAATCAAATTTTAAAATTATACTCCAAATTCTTCTGTATTATCCCTGTAGTAAGAGGCAGGGAAAGGGCGGGGTGCATTAAAAGTGAAAATAATCAATCTGTGGGTGCTCATCATATTGGCTCCTAGAATTTGTAGGTAAGAATGTCTCTTGCAAGGGAAAAGATTCATCTAAAAAGAGGACTTAATTTAAATAACTGTCAGAGGTTGACAGAACTAGCCTAGTTACTATTTTGTTTTAAAGGCAATTCCATTTTTATTTTTGTAATTTTTCTTTATTGTTTTTAGAGAGAAAGGAAGGGAGAGGGCGAGAGATAGAGACATCGATTGGACACCTGCATGCCCCTCACTGGGGATTGGGCCCACAACTTGGGCATGTGCCCTGTGCCCTGACTGGGAATCGAACCAGTGACCTCTTGGTGCATGGATCGATGCTCAACCACTGAGCCACACCAGCTGGGCTAACCTAGTTACTGTTGATTATCTGACTGAAATGAAGAGTAACACCTTGAGAGTGCCTGGCTGCTCCACCTACTAGTTATTGTTGATGGGTTTATTTCCCATTTTCTTTGCTAATACCTCTTTTTATTAGACATTTATTTGGTCAGTAGTGATCCTCAAAGTTGCTGATCCTAGCTACCCTGTCTATGTGACCATTTACTTGCATGATAATTATCAAAATATAACTTCATTAGCAGTAAATTAAGTTGTGGTACTTAATTGAGTTTAGTGAAGAAATACTATGTGCCTCATAAGTATGTGTAGTAGTTCTTAGTCCAAGGAGGAAGATTTTTGGTGAGGCATACAAGAGATCACACACTTTCCAGGCTAATCTCTTCTAGATGGACTCTTGTGTCTGCACATCCATTTTTTTCCTACAGAAGTTAATACCAGAAAATTTGGCCAACATTGTTTCTAAGAAATGCATGATCTGCCTTTAATTGTCTTTCCCCATTACTGCGAGCAATTTCTGCCCCTGTACAGATAAGAGAGAGTGAGGTGTGGAGGTCATCAGGGTGCTCAGTAGCTCAGATGCTCTCCAGTGATAACAACATCCCTATGTGATAGTCACTGTGATGCTGTTATTATGATGAGTGTTTTGCATTCTTAGCTTTCTTGTTTGCTTCCTGTCATGGTCAAGTTAGTCATGTGAGGTTATGAATAATGTCCTTCCATTTCACTTCTTGTAAAAGAAATGCAGAAAACTTAGGAGTCCCTGTATTCTCTGACATGGTTACGTTTTACTTTCTCTGTAGTAATGGAACGGCGGTATCCCAAGGAGGTCCAAGACCTTTATGAAACAATGAGGCGATTTGCAAGGATTGTGGGGCCAGTGGAGCATGACAAATTCATTGAAAGCCATGCATGTAGGTGGTTTTGAGCCTTAAGCATGTTTGAGAGAGAGAGAATGTGTGTGTGTGTGTGTGTGTGTGTGTGTGTTTATATAAATTTGAGAGATAATTGTTTTATGTGAAGGTCTGTAAATAAATACATGAATATTTTTGTCTTTGTTTCCCTTTATTACCATGAAATAAATTTGGGACTTTCAGGGTCGGAGAAGAGAAGTTAAAAAGCCTAGTGGTTTTCTTTTTTCTCTCCATATAAACAATTGTTGAGTAGTTTTCCCCTTACTTTTTGTTATGAGAGTTTTCAAATGCTATATATAAAAGTAGAGATAATAGTATCATGAACCGCCATCACCTAGCTTCAACCGTTGTCAACACATGGCTAAACCAGTGTCATCTCTGCCACTCCCTTCCCACCTTCACCTGGATTATTTTGAAGCAAATTCCAGATATCATATTATTTGTTCATAAATATTTTAATATTAAAACTAGTTTTTTATCCTCACCTGAGGATATTTTTAAAAATTAATTAGAGAGAGAGAAACACATCAATCGGTTGCCTCCCATTTGTGCCCTGACTGGGAATCAAACCCATAATCTTTCAGTGCATGGAACAATGCTCCAACCAACTGAGCCACACCAGCCAGGTCTTAAAACTAGTTTTTAAAGTGGGAACAGAGTTAGATAACTCATGGACCTAGTTCTTTCATCATTCTCTTGCCTTTTCTCTGAGAGAGCTCTACCCATTTTTTTTTTTTCTTTATTCATTTTAGAGAGAGAAGAAAGGGGAGAGAGAGAAACATCGATTGGCCACCTCCTGCATGCCCCCAACTGGGGACTTGGTACACAATCCGGGCATGTGCCCTGACCGGGCATCGAAATGGCGACCTCTTGGTACATGGGTCGATGTTCAACCACTGAGCCACACCGGCTGGACTCTACCCAGTTATGTGATTTTTCACTCTAAAATTGAAGTTGTTAAGAGAGGAAAGCCTAGTCTTGAAAGAGGTCTGGATGGGGTGGTTTATTCTATACGCATCAACATGATATTTATGTATTTGACATAAGTTTAGTTCTGGGAAAGTACTTTACCAAAGCTCTTACCCTGTTCTCATCATGTAGATATTTCTTACATCCATCATAGGCACTTATCTGAACCAGGTTGGTTGTCCTCACCAAACTCCCTATCTGGTTTTATTCTTTGTATGGTTTATACTAGGTGACTGATCCTTTACTCCCTGCCCCAGTTTGTGCCATCCCTAGTTTATGTGTCATTCCAAGGAACTACACCCCATGGATTGTCCAGGCATTTCCTTCATTCCTCTGTTTCAAAGCACCCAAATTTGAATGCTCTATTACGTAATAACCCAGGCAGTGCAACCTGATCTGTGTGCTCATAGGAAGCAGAAATCTTTGTTTTATGGGAAACACAATGCTCTTTTGTGTCTATGGAGAAAAATTATCTGGGATTTGAGCACAGAGCTTTTGTCCTTCCCTTGCATAAGGACCATAGCAGAGACAGATTTCATAAAAGAAATTTGGTTGTGTGGTAGAACTTTTAACACAGGATAAATAGCACAGGGACACTTGGTTGTTTAAAAAAGTTTGTTACTTCTAAGCTAAGTGAGTTCAGTCAGTTCACTGTAAGTTTTCTAAGATAGTTGCAGCTGCTGCTGCCTTCACCTGGAGATAGCAGCTGGAAGACAGCTGGAGGAGGTTTTTCTCAGCTCTTGGGTAACATTTCTAATGAGATGTTACCAACAAATAGGATTCTCCAAATGGAACTACCCAGTCTTTTATATAAAGCAGAATTACTGAAAATACTCAACAGCGAAACTGGTCATTGATGTTGATTATGTTTTTCTCCTTTGTTCTTTTTGGAATAAACAGTAGAATTTGAACTCCGAAGGGAAATCAAGAGGCTCCAGGAATACAGGACAGCAGGCATCACCAATTTTTGTAGTAAGTACTACATGCTATATCAGAGGACATATTTCTTCCAAACACATAGAGGAAGTCTGTTTGATGCGGTGTGAATTTTTTTTTTAAACAAGCTTTCCTTTTTCAGAATGAGTTTTTAATCCTTCTAAGAATGTTTCATCTATTTAATCCTTATAAATACCATTATGTGGATTATCTGAGGTAAAATGAAAGTTACAACACAAGAGAGGCACTGCTTTAGATTTAGGATTTAATAGCCTCTTAAAAAAAAGGACTTTAGCCTGGCCAGTGTGGCTCAGTGGTTGAGTGTTGAGCCATGCACCAAGAGGTCGCCAGTTCAATTCCCGGTCAGGGCACATGCCCAGGTTGTGGGCCAGATCCCCAGTGGGAGACAAGAAGGAGGTAGCCAGTCAATGTTCTCTCTCATCGATGTTTCTTATCTCCCTCTCCCTTCCTCTTTCTAAAAAAATCAGTAAAGAAAAAAAATTTTTTAAAGGACTTTATATTCTCATTTTTGCCTCAGCCTTTTAAAATTTAGTGGTGTGTGGTTTGATCATTCTTATTAACCAAATTTCAACTGGCTCTAGGTGTTTCCATCTCAGTTACTTGAGATGGTGATATTAATTACATTAATAGCAGCTAACATCTCATAGAAGCAGTTTACCATGTTCCAGGCCCAATGCTAAGCATTTCACCTGGATCATGTCATTTAATTCTCTAAAAAACTCATGAGTTAGGTATTGTTATTTCCATTTAATGAAGAAACTACGGTTTGAGGTGATTAAAGAGCCCTGGCCGATTTGGATCAGTGGTTAGAGCATCAGCCCGCGGACCACAGAGACCCAGGTTTGGTTCCCACTGAGGGCATGTTCCTCGGTTGCAGTTTGTCCCCAGCTCCAGTTGGGGCTGTGTGGGTGGAGACCAGTTGATGTGTCTCCCTCACATCAATGTTTCTCTCTGTCTCTTCCTCCCTTTCTCCCTCCGCTCTATCTGAAAAAATAAAAAATAAAGTGATTAAAGAGCCCTGGCCGGTTTGGCTCAGCAGTTAGAGCAGGGGTGGAGGATCTTTTTTCTGTCAAGTGCCATTTGGATGTTTATAATGTCATTTGAGGGCCATACAAAATTATCAACTTAAAATTAGCCTGCTGCTGCCTGGCCGGTGTGGCTCAGTGGATTGAGCATCATACCATGGACTGAGAGGGCCTGGTTTGATTCCCAGTTAGGGTACGTGCCCGGGTTGCTGGCTTGATCCCCAGTGGGGGGCATGCAGGAGGCAGCCGATCGATATTTCTCTCTCATATCAGTTCCTCTCTCTCTCTCAAAAATCAATAAAAAATACATATTTAAAACAAAATTAGCCTGCTATATTTGATCAGGCAAATTTGGTGAGGTGTGTGATGTAAGCTGGTATTGATTTTGCCAGCCTTATATGGCCCTCGGGCCACACGTTCTCCACCCGAGTTAGACCCTCAACCTTAGGACCAAAGGGTCGAGGGTTTGATTCCCGATCAAGGGCATGTACCTGGGTTGCAGGTCTAATCCTTGGCCCCAGTCAGGATTGTGCAGGAGGCAACCAATCCATGTCTCTTTCTCTCTCTCCCTCTCTTTCTTGCCCCCACTTGCCCCCCCTTCCTCCTTTCCTTCCACTCTATCTAAAATAATGGAAAAAATCCTTGGGTGAGGATTAACAAAAAATAAATAAATAAAGTGATTAAAGGGAGATGTAGTAGAGTCAGATCATAAAGGAAGACAGTATATTATAGTAGTTAAGAGCTTGAAGTCTAGACTTAGACAGTGTGTGTTTAGATTCTGGCTCTCCTGTTTACCAAATCTGTAATTCTGTTTCAGTCTTAATTTTCCAAGTCTCTTAGAATTAATCTAAAGACTAATTAGAGATAATGCATGAAAACATAGTACAGTACCAGGCACATAGTAAGTCCTCAGTAAATGGCAGTTTCTGTTGTTGTTATTGTTGGAGTGATCTTTAGCATTCTCTTCTTCCTGTTGGATGAAAGCGATCACCCAGTACCCACAGGAAGTTGCCCTATGGGTGGAAGTTTAGTATAGTATAATGGTTCTTTATTTTTAACAATAAAAATCACTTTCAAAATAAAATTTTATGAGCCCTAATCTATAAGTAAGGTGAAATGGAACTACTTTGGTTGAAGTCTGATGGTTTAGGTCAGGTGTAGAACCCAGAACCACCAGTATGTGGTAGTGCCCTTGCTCTTCATGTAAGCCCTGGTAGATCCTCATGGTACTCTGGGGCTCTGTGGAACACAGTTTGAAACCCATTGCTGTGGCATTTTGGCATCTGTATACCTTTGTTAGCATGTATAAAACACCATTGTTGTTAATCTTCACCCAAGGATATTTTTCCATTTACTTTTAGATAGAGTGGAAGGGAGAGAGGGAAAGAGAGAGAAACATTGATGTGAGAGAGATATATCAGTCGGTTGCCTCCTGCACAACTCCGACCAGGGCTGGGGATCAAACCTGCAACCCAGGTATGTGCCCTTGACAGGGAATCGAACCTGAGACTCTTTGGTTCACAGGCCAGTGCTCTAACCACTGAGCTAGACTGGCCAGGGCACCATGCAACTCTTGTGTAGCCATGTGCATATAAAGACGCTGATGCCGGGGTTTAGTTTCCTGATGCTGATTGCCTCTGGGAAAGAGGGGAAAGGAACAGTACTGATCAGGGAAGCCTTGTTTTTATTTGTAAAAAGCAATTCCTATTGCTTTTTAAGGAAGAGTGTATACTTATAGTATAAGTATATATAGGTAGAAAAATAGAACAGGAAGCAAATATGACAATATTACATGTTAATTACTTTTGGGGGTGGAAATATGAGTCACTCTTACTTTGTACTTTTCTGTTTTGGGTTTTTTTCCCTCTAAATTTCTGAAAGGGCCCTGGCCGGTTTGGTTCAGCGGTTAGAGCGTCGGCCTGCGGTCCTGAGAGACCTGGGTTCGGTTCCCGCTAAGGGCACGTACCTCGGCTGCAGTTTGTCCCCGGCCCTGGTCGGTTGTGCGGGTGGCAGCCACTCGATGTGTTCCTTTCACATCGATGTTTCTCTCTCTCTCTCTGTTCCTCTCTCTCCCTCCTACTCTACCTGAACAAAAAATGGAAAAATGTCCTCGGGTGAGGATAAAAAAATAAAAAATTAAAAAATAAATAAATTTCTGAAAGGGAGAAAAGGAATAAAAATATTTTAATTTCTTGTCAGAAGGATTTTAAACTAGGAGAAATCTCCTTTACTCTTAGAAAAATATTTGTGGAAGCAGTTTTACAAAGAAATAAAAAAAAAGGCAAAGCTGTTTGCTGGTTAATTAGGAAGCCCTTCGTAGTTCTACATTGTCATTGCAGTTGTGGTGTTGTTGTCACACCTCCAGGTGCCAGAACCTATGATCACCTCAAGAAGACGCGAGAGGAGGAGCGCCTTAAACGCACCATGCTCTCCGAAGTCCTGCAGTATATCCAGGACAGCAGCGCTTGCCAGCAGTGGCTGCGCCGGCAGGCTGACATGTGAGCAATTAGTCCAGGGTGAAGACGCATCCTTTGGTCTTCACATGTATTTTCAGTCATTTCCATGGGCACCTTACCCATGGCAGAGTAATAATAATTAGGTAGCTAGAAGAATTCGAAAGTTTTAGGAGTCTATCTCAGAAACAAAGCAATATGACAATTTTGAGAAACATAACTGGCCTCCTAGAATCCTCCTTTGCTACTTTGATTTTATTTTTAAAAATAAGTAAATTCCCCTACCCGTGTCTCCTCTCTCCCTCCATATCTATTGGTATAATTTCCACTGGAGAAGCATGTTCCTAAATTTCCCCATGAATGAGCTCCACGATGTTCCAGGCTAAGAGCTCTTAACAAATCCAAGTGATTTCCCCTTCCGGAACGTCTCTTCCTGGTTAGTACAGTGGGATAACTGTAAAACGTGCAGTCTGTCTCATTACATCTCTTCAAAGTAACTGACCTGATAAATGGCAACCAGCCCCACATGTGCTTTTGGAAATTGCCTCCTTTGGTGTGACATAAGTTTAAATTCCTCTTCTTCATTGTAGTGATTCCGGCCTGAGTCCTTCTGTTTCGATGGCTTCGAATTCAGGTAATTATTTTTCAAGCTAGAGCAAGTCTTGGTTAAGTTTTCATTCTAGGGATTGTGGTGAACCAACAGTCTGTCTCTGCTTTGTGGGCTCAGGGTGCTTAGACAGAGTAACGGTAATTATGTGTTGTCCCAATTTATAAACATCAGCAAGTTTTCAGAATCTTCATGGCCAGACAGGGACTATCCTCGGGGTTAGAGTACAAAGACAGGGAAGAACAAACTCCAGAGAGGTGGTTTCTTTATTTATTATTGTCTGTGGGCAGTTAGTTTGTGGTTGTATCTACCACAGATTTTAAGATTTTTCTCGAAGGGGATAAAATATAGTTTTTATGTCTTGTATGAGCAAAGAAGCATGTTATTTTCCAGATACACAAGGGCATCTTTTTAATTTGGAGACTTAAGGTATTTATGTTTCTTATCTTTACCTCTGGTTGTGTTCTATTTTGAGAATAGTTTACAGAGCTAGATAGATTAAGCATATGCTATCTGATAGTCTTTTGGTCCTCCATGTGGTAGATTAGCCACTTCCCCAAATCAGAACATGCAGACCACTACACTGATTAGAAGCGGACTAGCCCTTGCAGGTTTGAACCCAGCCTCAGTCAGGGTCTTGTAGGTGGCAACTGATCGATGTTTCTCTCTTACATCGATGTTTCTCTCTCTCTCCCTCCCTTCCACTCTATCTAAAAAAAATCAATGAAAAAACATCCTTGGGTGAGGATTAACAACAACAACAACAACAACAAAAGTAGACTACTCTAAAAGATGACCCACTTGCAGTTTTATCATTGGAAGTTTGGAACAATAGACCTGTGACGATCCCATTCACGTCTCTCAGTAGACTCAGGATCTCCACAGGACTCAGAGGAAGGCCACATTAGGGATGATAACTTTTTTTTTTTTTTTCATTTATTCCTTTGTTTCAAGTAATTATTTTTTAATACTTAAAGGAGAAAAGAGAGTCTTTTAGGGAGTAGCCAAGACATACCAGTTTTATTTTATGAGTTTCTTACTTCCAGCTTTTCCTCACCAGTCTCAGTGCAAAAGTACAAATAAGTTAATATTGGCTATTTAAAGTGAATGAACTAACATGACCATGCAACACTGGTGTTTGTGTTTCTGAACCATCTGCACTCACTTATTTCTTGCTTCCTAGGTTGTTGTTAGCCTTCTTCACCCCTTATATTTAGGTTAAGGAGACCCCTTGCTCTTCATATTCTGAGTTAGTCCTACGGCAGTGCAAACTGGGAAACCTGGATCCTTGTTTGTAGCTTAACCTCTGGGTTGGTAACAAATGATTTTAGTCTCCCTTTTTGAGCTGTTAGGGTAAGGCAAGGCCTGTCGGTTGTGGAGAAGCCCTTATCCTTTGTTGATTTTACAAAGAAGCATGTTTTCTAGCAGAGCAGCCTGTTAACAGTCCCTCCCCTTTCTTTCCACCACGAAAAAGACATTGCTCATAAAACTTATATTATTCTACATTTTCTTTTGTTTAACTCAGTCTATCCATCCCCAATTGAACACTAATCTCAAGTAAACATTCAAAACAAAACCAAAATATTTTGCACCTCAAGCTTCCCATCCTGGGCAGTGTTCTCACACTTGGATTTCTTTCTCAGGTATGTGAGTTCACCTCAGCCTCTACTTTGCCATATAATAGCTCATTGTTCCTCTGTGTGGATCTTTCCGGTAAACAAGGCTGCTTTGGAAGGAACAGATATTCCCTCACATAATAAATAAGAAGGGCCTTTTGCTGGCCTAACAGTCTGCCTTTGATCTGAAGGCAAATGGTACTTGGTTAATTACCATGTTTGCCTTGTACTGTTGGCAGAGTGGCAAGGGTTAGGAAATGTCTCTCCTGCAGAGTTGTTATTTCCATTCATCCGCTGTCAAGGTAGGTAGTGTATGACCTTTCTTAACTTGAGGAGATCTAGGCTTTAGATTTTGGAATCTCCTACTGGGTTGAGAAGAAATGGGTAATAACTGCTGTGTTAAGTAGTCATTATTTGATGCTATGATATGTGTGATTATATGAGTAGTTTAGGAAAGCAAAGGGCACACAGATTAGCCTTTTTATTTTCAAGTAAACTTCGTAGAGCCCATGTTGTTAGTTAAACTGGGGCCTGAGGAGACTGGTGAAGGTTTCCTCCAGCTGGACATAATGATCTAACTGGCCTGCCTGCAGTGAACGTTGTTATATTTACACCTAAGGACTTGCCACTTCTGGGAAACGAATGCCTTTTTCTGTCTGTGTCTGCAGGTAGACGAAGTGCACCACCCTTGAACCTCACGGGCCTCCCTGGCACAGAGAAACTGAATGAAAAAGAAAAAGAGGTAAGAGAAAGGGAGCTAGAGGAAAGAGGCTGTGATAAATCATTGTATTGCCATTGCAGGATCAAACCCGTTTTGCTCTGCTTATCTAATGACATGTACAGTTCTAGTCTATCCCAGAAGGCTATGAGCTACAGAGCTAACCTCAGGTTTCAGAGGACTCCTTTCCTTATCACCTTGCCACCATTTGCCTTCTGAGAGAAGAACATATGCTGTGTAAATCTAAATCATAGCAGCTATCACTTATTGAGCATGTACTGTGTACCAAATACTGTACTAAGTACTTATGTAAATAAAATTAATTTTTTTATAAACCTAAAATAATGTATATGAAAGTGGTTGCTTCCTATTAGAATGGTCACTTACAGTTGTTCTACACTTTTTCCAACGTATAACCATCACTTAAAAGATTTTATTAGAATTATCTCCATAGCATGTTTATAAGCATAAAGAAAGGAGCTCATTATCATATATAGTCACATTAATTTTTATTTAAAAATGGCATGATTCGCCCTGGCCGGTTTGGCTCAGTAGTTGGAGCGTCGGCCTGCGGTCCGGAGAGACCCGGGTTCAGTTCCCGCTAAGGGACGTACCTCGGTTGCAGTTTGTCCCCGGCCCTGGTTGGGTCGTATGGGTAGCAACCACTCGATGTGTCCCTTTCACGTCGATGTGTCTCTCCCTCCCCCTCTATCTGAACAAAATATAAAAAAAAAAACCAAAAAACAAAAACATGTCTTCTGGTGAGGATAAAAAAAAAGTATTCACCCAAAAATGGCATGATTCATGTTTCTTTTCCATTATAATCATCAGACTTGTCTTCATGTTACTTTTGGCTGTTCCTAAAATTTAAATCCAGCCTCAAAAGAGTCATCACCAAGTGTTTTCAAAAGAATGTGCCGTGGCTCTGAAATCCATTCTAACAGAGGGCTTCCCCGTTTGCTCCTCATCTGCTCCTCTATAGTCCCCAAGATCAGTGTCCCCATCTGCACTTTGTGCCATTGATTCAGGCCAGACAGTAAAGAAGAGTCTAGGAGAAGAGACTATTAGTCTTTTATTTTATCCACTAGGAATAGTAAAGATTAGTTTGGGAATAGAAGGGAGTATATGTTATATCCAAGTATTACTAAACGTTATAGGCCATTCTGATTGAAGTATTGACTGGTCTGGACTTTTAAGCAGTGTTTATCCTTACCCAGACAATGGTGACCTTAGAGTGCTCATTGCTGGGTAATGGCAAGTAAACTGGAATGAGCCACCTTTCTAGATTTTTAGCAGCTAAACTGGCCTAATCTTAGCAAGGTCTCTGTATCTCCTCTCCTTCCAAAGTAGGAAATGCAGTCACAACAGCAGGGACTATTACTTTAAGCCAATACTAAAAATAATGTGATTCACACTTGGGAATCCAAGTATCTGTACCCCCACCCCACTGAGCCCTGTGGCCCTTCCCTGACTGGCTGTGTTGGAATGTGCCGGGCCTCTACCCAGCCGACACCTGAAGGCTCTCCCAGCATCCTCTTCCTGAGCGTCTGTCTTTAGTGAATATTCCCTCCAAAGAGGAGAGAGACTAAATGGAATATAGTCCAGCCACCCAACAGTTCCTATATATAGTTGGAGGTTGATGTCCTCTTAAATTTTATTTTGGCTATACCTGCTGGATTAAATTATGAGAATGCTAGATGCTAATGTTTATTAAATTTGCCATGTCTTACAGCTCTGTCAGATGGTGAGGTTGGTCCCAGGAGCCTATTTAGAATACAAATCTGCTCTGTTGAATGAATGTAACAAGCAAGGAGGCTTGAGACTGGCACAGGCAAGAGCGCTCATCAAGATAGACGTGAACAAAACCCGGAAAATCTATGATTTCCTCATTCGAGAAGGATACATCACTAAAGCTTGAGGCTCTAAGGGCTTGGGATCTGAAATCACAAGTTTGGAATGTGGTGGACCAAAGGACAGTATGAATATTCTTGAGCTGAATTCTCATTGTAACAAGAGGGGAAAGGACAAAGGAAACCTTAAGTGGTAATAATGTCTACTTTATTCTCCACCCTGCTTTGACACTCTTGTTGTTGGTATTGTGCTGCAGAGTTATGTGCTAGATAAGCTATTATTAAATGTGAGTGGGCATTCATTCCTAACACTTCTTGCAACTAAAACAAGCACCATAGTACCTCACATCACAGTGTTGGTACAAATAGAACTAAACCAGTCTTTAGTCTCAGGGGTCCAGACCCTTGTACGTGAGTGGTTGGTTTACTGACTCTCTGTTTTGCCTTCAAACAATACAGACAGATTTAAAGTAAAGAGAACGGTTATAGAGCATGAGAAAGCTTTTTAATTCCTTTTGAGGATTTTTTAAGTTGACAACATGTTTATGAGCAAAGGGGAGGAAAAGCTCCTCATGATTGCCTTTTCCCAAACTGCATCTTTAACTTAAATGTCTGGCTTTGTACTTTGTAGTCTGTCTAATCTGCAGTAGACTTTTGAGGTGGTGGCATCGGATATAAAATGTCTCTATTATTTTTAGAATTAATGGATTAAAATGTTTGCTGTTCAATGTGTGATGTGTCAGATATTCTGGTAACTAAAGCACGCTTAAGGTGTTGGATGCCCACCTCGTCACACTGCACTGTCTCTCCTAATGGGTGTCCTTGACTAACCCTGTTCATACCCTGGGTTTCCCAGGATGCCAGGCCCTGAGGATGGAGATGATGCAACTAACCTCCGCTGTGCTTGGATTGAGACCTGAACTCTAATTTCTTAATGGGGAAAAGCTAGCCTGCAATAAAAGCTACTTTTAAAACAAAAGTAAAGCTGTGTCATATATGGGACTCAGTAGATAACGAGGGTGAGTAACTCCACCACATCTGAAACTAGGTCCTCGAAACCTTCTGCAGAATAAGAAGCCAAACTCAGTCACGGTTATCCCATTTCTAATAGAAGGAAAGTTGTATATAGAAATAACTTCAGAATCTGCACAAATTCCGTCTAGTAGCTGATTCTTTAATTCTTTCAATATTCAAAATATCTAATTAAAAGATTATATGCTTTGTTGGAAGTGTCTGCTCACACCTTTTAACTGATGTAAATATGCATGCAGCTCGCTAATAGACTTCAGCTGGGGCGTAACAAATGAAAAGGAAACTCTGAGGATCTGAAGGAATTAGAATAATTAAAGACTTCAATCTGTAAAGTGTGGCTTGTGAAAATGGTGTCTTTTCTTTGCATATTCGTCTCTCCCAGAAAAACCTAGTCTACCACCACCATCACCCTCAGTTGAGTATAAAGGGATTGTCTTTATCCCTGAAAGACAGTTCTGGTTCCAAAAATTTGGGGTGCATTAGACACTATGTCAGGTGATATCTGTTATGATGTGAAGAGTCCATCTTGATTAAGGAAGGCTTCCGGGGAGAGGTGAGCTTTTGAGGCAATGATAAGATCGGGAGGAGGGAGAGAATTTGGCAGATGGAAGTAGGAGACTGTTCCAGACATAGAGGGTGAAGGGTGATCTGGAGGCAGCAGTGGGAGTAAGGAAAATGGTGCCAAGAGGTTTCGTTGTCTAGGACACAGGGGCAGCTGTGGTAGTTGGGAGTAGGAGGATGGTAGACAGTCTGATAGAAACCTTGGAACCAGTTGAACTCTGAAAAACCGATCAGGGAATCAGATTTGATGAGGAAAAACGGCATGGTTGGAAATAGTGATAGAAAAATAGGACTGTAATTTCAAATAACTGGATTTTAGAAAGTAGGATTATTATTATTGTTTTGGAAAACCCAACTGTGCAAATGTTAGGACCTAGAATCCCTAGGGGGTTTCTCAAAGACCAAGCCATATTTTGGATAATGGGTACTCTTAAAAGGAGTCACTAAGTTGCTATCTTTATGCATTTATAATAGAAAAACACTTGCTGATATATTTGATGTGGCTGGCTTAAGTACATTATTTCTTTCCATGTTCTTATCACCATGTTCTTATGCCTTTTACTAAAAATCAAGAGCTAGCAAGGGCATTTCAGAGAATATTCCAGCTGCATTAATAGACGTCTCAGTCCAGATCATCTCAGAACAGTTTACTCTAAAACTCAACAACATGAATAAAGACTTCCTGCTGTTAGGAATTTTTGTTGCAATATAGCATTAAAGGTTTCTGCATTATCTTTTTCTGCCAGTGTTGGGAAATGGTGAACAGATTTCTTTCCGTATAGTGACCCTTTCCTGTGCTTAAAGGTCCAGACTGTCTCTTTTGAGGCCAACTATTTGTGGTTTATCACTTCTTGGGTTGTCGTTTTCATCTTTTTACTGCTTACAGCCCTCACCCATTTAAAATCTGAACTCAGTAGTTAATTAACCAGCCATTGCTGAGAGATAAGAACAAGCTGCCCAATTTTTAGTAATGAAATCACCACCTTGTGGTTACCTGGAAGGATAAGACCAATGACATCAAAAACAACAAAATTCCACTTAATAATTCATTCTAGCTTTAGGAAATATGCAGATATCTAATTTAAAAATAAAAAAATGGCCCTGGCCGGTTTGGCTCAGCAGTTAGAGCGTAGGCCTGCGGTCCAGAGAGACCCGGGTTCAGTTCCCGCTGAGGGCATGTACCTTGGTTGCAGTTTGTCCCCGGCCCTGGTTGGTTGTGCGGGTCACAGCCACTCAATGTGCCCCTTTCACGTCGATGTTTCTCTCTCTCTCCCTCTCCCTTCCTCCCACTCTATCTGAACAGAAAATGGAAAAATGTCCTCGGGTGAGGATAAAAAATAATAAATAAACAAACAGACAAACAAATGAGAATGGCTGTGGCTGGTGTAACTCTGTTGGAACATTGCCCTGTATACCAAAAGGTTGCAAGTTTGATTCCCTGTCAGGGCACATGCCCAGGTTGGGCCAGATCCCCAGTGGGGAGCGTGCAGGAGAAGGCCAATCAATGTTCTCTCTCATCGATGTTGCTATCTCTCTCTCCCTCCCTAAAATCAATAAAGAAGAAAAAAAAATTTTAGGTTTAAGTGTGAAGAATTAGAGGCCCAAATTACAAAAAGAAGCTTGGAAAAAACTTGTTTATATTTACTCCAAAACACTTTTCCCCTGGCCTACAGACAGTAGTATTATATTCTAAACAGTGTAGAACATGCTTCATCCATTTTTAAGGATCTTTGTGGATATCTTCTAAATATACACTTTATTATTGTTAACACAACAAGCTTTTCCACAACTTATATGTACCAGGCTTTTTATTTGTTTAAATTTCTAAAGTTTGATTCAAGATACTGATCTGGAAGGTTTGCTTCCCTTTCCAGTGCGCTTAGACCAGATGTGTTAGCCTCTCCCTGATCTGCCAGAGGGGTCATCTCTGGTACAGGGAGACTCTGCCATGTCTATGGCCTTGTGTCAAAGCGGTAGCCGGGCTAAGTCAAGGGATTTCTCTTCAATCAGACAGAATAGCCAGACCTGAGTGAAGTGTAAGTGAAATTGAACAGGATCTCAGAGTACAAGCAAGGCCAGAGTAGCCTGGATAGGATAGTAATGGTCATGCTGACATAGGCATTTAATTTGGTAGTGAGAACAACAGTGAAGAGCATTTAACTAGGAGATATTTTGGAACCTAAGCCTATCCATGAAATATGCATCAGAGCTGAGTATTAGTGTGCTACTTGTGAGGGGTGGGGGTGGGCGTACATGAATAATTTCTGAGAAGTCTGGAAAGCCTGTTTCTAAGTCTAATGGAATGGAGTTTTTCTGTTGAGTGTTTCCCTGGTGCCTTGGCTCCTGTCAGTTGAGATGTGCTGGGATGAAAGCATTCATAGCCCTTTAAGTTGACTGACTAGGCTTACAGTCAAGAGGCCCAGGTACCTAAGGAAAGGATGAATGCCTTGCATCTGACGTTAAATGCCTTTATCACCATGAGTTACTTGCTTGGTATGCATTGTGTACTGGGCCCCTTCCCTGTTAAGAGTAGGAATAAGGAAGTTGAGATAAGAATACAGAAAGTAACCCTTAAATGGTTTAAAACCCCAAACTGAAGGATACAAAAAACATTGTAATATCACCATACATCGTTGTTTTGAAAGTCCCATAGTTAATCTTTGCCAGCCCAGACTTGTTTTATGTCTTTTAGGACTGGGTAATTAAGTCTGATGCACTTACTTTCTACTTTGGAGCCCAGTGGATGGCATCAAACTAACTTGGTTGAATTAATCTTTTCTTCTTAACCAAACAACACTCCCCACCACCACCACCCCACCCTGGCTGGTTCTCATCTCCCTGAGGGTCTTAGGTGGCAGAAAGCTTCCAGGTGAGGCTTGCTAATTAACCTACCTTGGTCCAGAGTTATGTTGAACAGACGTAGCATCTAGGAAGGTGAAAAGGAGAAAACCTCATAATTTTAAAGAACCAGTGCTTTTTCTTAATTAAAGCACAAATGCTGAAATGCTGTCATCTTATTACCCTGATTCAATAGTGAACTGAAAGCTAAGTGCCAACTCATGACACTTCTAATGCATCTCTCTTTTTGGAGAGCTGTTTGCCAAGAATATGCCCTGCTTCTGGTTTGCCAAGTATATGCCCTGCTTCTGAAACTGTTTGCAGTGACCTTTCTCTTTTCTCCCATTAAACGATAGTAACTGATTTGGATTCTCCCCTTATTATCACCCTTTATTTAGAGGATTCCTTTAAAACATAACATTATATATATATAATGGAACCTGTACTGTGGAGCTTCATTTCGACGTTCCCAATCAACATTCCCTGCAAGAAAATTGGTTTTTAATTTTTGGTGTCTGATGTTTATATCTAAATTTCCAGTGGTAGGATGTCTAAGATGAAAAGGGAAATTTTCAGGGTCATTTAATAGGTTTTCAAAAAAATTATTTAGAGAGGGCCCTGGCTGGTTTGGCTCAGCGGTTGGAGCGTCGGTCTGTGGTCCAGAGAGACCCAGGTTCGGTTTTCGCTAATGGCACATACCTCGGTGGCGGTTTGTCCCCAGCCCTGGATGGTCGTGCGGGTGGCAGCCACTCGATGTGTCCCTTTCATATCGATGTTTCTCTCTCTCTCTCTCTCTCTCTCTCTCTCTCTCTCGCTCCCTCTCCCTCCCTCCCTCTCACTCTATCTGAACAAAAAATGGAAAAATGTCCTTGGGTGAGGATAAAAAGAAAACAAAAAAAATTATTTAAAGGGAGTGAAAGTTCAGAAATGCCATGAAGACACTAGCTCCTCAAATACCAGAAGCCTTAGCAATGGGGGTGGCTGATCTGCACTTTAGGAAAGGAGGAGAGGGCAGCAGGGTTCAAACCCTGATCCCCTGAGAATTTGCTGTCTGCTTTGGAGAGCTGAAACAGCTTTTGCATACAGTATTCTTTTAGGAGCCTCTTTTTAACCAAGGTCAAGCTGCAGTAGAAAAAGCCACTCTACTGGGGGCAGGAGCCAGAGCCCTTATTTTTTGCCTAAAGGAGAGCACTTTGATAATATTTTTACCAAAGGGCATTTACAGGTAGGTGACAGCAATGTCAACCTTACCTGGCAGCCTGCCCCAACCCCCCACCAAGAAAATCTGCCTAGTTTTGGGTGTACATGCTTTCAGATTCAGGACAGCTGTCAGATCTAAGTCAGCACAGTTTTAACTTCATGATGTAAAGCAAAATGCTTTTGAGAGCAAAATCTCCCAGGAGTGCCTTACACCCCCAGCAACTACAGAAAAGAAGGCGTCTGCTGCCAAGAAGGGTGGCTATAGATGTCATTGCATCTTCCAGATCCCAGCTGTGACCTGGCTCAGAATTTTACAGTTAAAAATAACCATGACTTAAAGTTGGGGGAGAAAAGTAAACTGTTGCATCTCCATGGAAACTAGGAGAAAGGAAAAAAGGCAAGCCATGGATTTCCAACAGATGTGGCAAGGTGGGGTGGATATAGGAGCCTGGGAGCTCT